TGTTGTGGCTTTTGGTGAACCATTATCAATGGTTGTGGATCTTGAAGATCCGTCTTTCAATAGTTATGGATACCAAGAAACTCTTTAGTTATGGATACCAAGAATCTCTTTCCCAATGGATGTAGATTTTTAAGAATCGTTTCTCAACGGTTAAGAAGCTCGAAAAATTATCAAGTTTATTGACTCATAACCTCCTGTCAAACACGAGATAATCCTTTTTCTTTTTCACCTTTGATCCATATATGTTTTTAGATCTTCTTTTTTTAAATAACATTGGACTTGTAATCTTGTTACCTATTCTCTTATGTCATGATTGTGTTATCAAGTTTTTTTTTTCATTATGAGAATAATCAAACAAATCAAGATAGTTTTAAAGGGTGATCCAATTATATTTAAAATAATTTCTATGATGTTTACATATCTTTATCAAGTCATGATATAGTTCAAATATTTTTTTTAATTTTTTTTATTATGTTATTCACGATTTTAGCTCATGTAGACTAAGAATTAAATCAAATTTCAAGTATAATATTTTATTTTCAACTTATGATTGATAAGCTTAATCCTTAATCCATTGCTGTACATTTCTTGAATCACATAAGGTCTATCCACTTTGAAGAGGAACTTACTGTCCATGCATTTAAACACTTGAAATATGTGATAGAGTTTCTTGAAATTTCTTTTTATATTCAGATTTAAAACTAGAAGATGTAAGGTTAAGGTGACTTTTTCTTTTTTATTTTAAAAATGTATAATGGGCAAGAGATAAGGATGATGATATAAGATGGTTGTGGAAAGATTGTAGCTATGGTTAGAGGGTGTTTGAATAAGAAATAGCTTTTGTTTTTTTTTAAAAAAACATGTTTTTATAGCTTTTAGAGGTGTGGTTTGTGCATAAAAGGTATTGTATATTTGATAAAAAGTCACCACACCTCCCATCCAAACAGACTCTTAATCTACTTGATAGCACTTTTGATTTCTATTGAATTTAGACCACCATTTTACCTTGATATCTCTTATGATATTTGGACATTAACCAACTTCTTCATCTATATGATGCATTATCACAAAGTCTCGACATAAAATCCAAGTGATGTTGAAGATGGAGATGAAGTACAAAGATGAAGAATATATTTTATTGTCTGATTTTTCTTGTATTCACACATTAATCCTCATTATTTTATTTTTTTTGTCCTCATTACACCATAACAATAACTCTTTTATTCTATTATATGTCTTCAAAATACTTGAAAATTCTTTTATTTAATTTATTTTGTTTGGATTATAATTTCTCAAGTTTTCACACTTATTCTAAGTGTTTGACCCTTAAAAAAACACCCTTTATGGTAACATATATAGCTCTAATCATAATAAAATGACCTCTCTTGCGTTAGATCAATGCAACCATAAGCACTTGATATTTGGTTTTGAAATTCTCCATTCTAAAAGAGGTGGCTATGATAAAAGGAAATTAAAGGCCTTTAGACAATGTGTCTCTCCATGTTTTAAAGGCAAAAAGGTCTTTAGTCTTGAACTAGCAAGGGTTTCTGAAGAAGAAGTTGAAAATTAGAACCAATGCTATAAAGATGTTAGAAGCAATAAACTTAGAGGAAGGGCAGAAAATTATCACTAAAACATGCTACATTGGAACCAAACCAATAACAATAACTCATAAATTTTCTCATTCTCTGTAAGTCATATTTTACCTTTATAACCTCAAATATGTTAGGATTAGTCAAAAAATAGATATTCATAAATTTCAAGATGAACACAACATAGTTATAATACCGAATTCAATTCAGTTCTAGATGTGAATGAATCGAGTAGATAAGTCAACCTAAATTTTAATTTCTTTATTTTTTTTTACAAAAAAGCATGTTTTTTAAAGAAAACAAATCAACTCAATATTGTTTTAGTTAAAAAAAATTAGTTAGAAATAAAATTCAATTCAAGCAGAGTTTTATAACAATAACATAACGATTAGATTAAAAAATTATAACTATTTACAAGTTGTATTTATTTTATGTGTATTATTAAACTAGATTAGAGATGTCGTATTTAACACTTTTCTTTGATAAAGTTGTGATTATGGCTTTTAAAAAGCTATAAATTATAATTTTTAAAAAATAATATAAGAAAAGAGTTGTGATATTAGCTTTAAAAATATTATCAAACACTGAAAAATCATAACTACAACTAAAAATTAAAGTCACATCCAAATCTTTAAACATGCACTTAAATATTTGTTTGATAGTAAATGCTATTTATTTTTATAAAAATATTGTTAACATTATAACACATAAAATAATATGTTTTAAAATTAATTTATATCAATATATCAAAATTATTAAAAACATTTAAAATACTATAAAACTATTTATCAAGAAACATACAATAATAAAACAATATAATTAATAAAAAGTAAATAAAATATATAAAAACAATGAATATTAGGGGATGAAGAGAAAACACTTTTATTTCATGTGAATTTATAGTTATATATTTGTCTGCTATTTCTCAACAATGTTGCATATATATATATATATATACATATATATAAACACTTATAAACTTAAATGTCATAAGAATATATAGATTCAAATTTTTTTAAAAAATTTTGAAATGAATTTAATGATGATAAATGAATATAATAATAAAAATGTATAGAAATACATTTAGATATCCTCAACCACCTATAATGTATACTTTTATAACATATAAAATATTAATTTAATTAAAAAAAACAGCTTAAGAAATACTTTAAAATTAGACTAAATCGCATAAACAAACGCACACAAATTGCACAAATGAAAATTAGCACAAATTAAACACAAGGAATAAAAGAGAATAGAATCACAAAGGAAATTACCAGTCCACCGTCATGCTGCCCTTTAACATTTCTTAATCCAAAACTCAACTTGTCATATCCGCTTGCGATCTTTTGCAGCAACTAATTATTTTTACTGAAAGAAGGTGACTCTGTCTTGTTTACAACCTTTGTTTTCTTGATTTTTTTTTACTGAAATAAAAAAATGGCTTTGATGGAAACATTTTATCTCTCACATGGAGCCCCAACCCTTGCTATTGATGAAACCGCACCAGCAAGCCAATTCTTTAAATCATCGCAACAAAGTGTGTACAAAGAGAAACCGAGTTCCATTCTTGTTATTTCTGTTCACTGGGAGACCGAACCTACCGTTAGTGTTGTTGATCGAAATGATACCATTCATGACTTCCCCAAGCCCTTGTACCAGGTACCCCATGATCATTTCTTTCTTTCCTTCAAAGTGTTTTGCTTTTTGATTCTTTTGACTATTTTGTTATCGGGGTGATCTGATTTCAGCTTGTGATGAGTACTTTTGGAAATTAAGACCATATGATTGATCATATAGCTAGGGAGATTAATTAACTTTTTATTGATTTTTTACCGTTTAAATTGTGATTAAATGGTTAAACATGCCCGTGTCTATAATTAGTTTCTGGGATTTGGAGGCACCCTTGAAGCTAGCCACTATTGATTTGTTGAACTGAAATGATTGTTACGTCAAGAATTACATTTGAATGATGGCTGATGAGTGAAGGATGATTCTGTAAAAGAAAACAATATCTAATCTACTATGATTTCTTAGATGTTATGATTTGTCTTGAAAGTAAAGACAATTTATTACTTAAGAATTATAATCGATTATTGATCTGAACAGAATAGCTCATAGGAGGTTCTGCTCTAAATAAAACCGAATGGAGAAGATGCACTAATGATGCGGTTGAAAGTGCTTTACCTCTGAAAACACACTTTAAGCAACAAAAGCATGAAAATCATGTTGAAAGTTTGTGAAAATAATGATGTCATATATGTAGTCTGAGTAGTTTGGGTTTTGGTTGAAGACTAGCCAACTTTGAAATGGTGTGTGAGATTAGCCTTGTATAATTGATTTTGCTGGGATAAATGTCATGCACAATCCATATCCATATTTGCACAACTGAATCACAAGGATGCAAAGACACGCTCCAAACAAGATAACTAGATAAAAAAACCCGACATGCTTGAACTGTGCTCTTTTGTCGAAGGTCAAGATGACAATACTTCCTTTAATCGTATATAGCTATATGATAAACTTATATGACTTACGCTCTTAACTTTTTCTTGCTAGTATTGCCTTTCTACAAGTGTGTCCTTACCATTTATGCTTTTCTTGTGTGGGCTTTTAACACTGTGACCTTGACACGTGCCTTAGGCTACACCTCTATGCTGAGAAATAATGTTCGTTCACGTGCCTTGGGATCTGAATTGGTTGTGGTTACTGTGCTGAGCGTTGCTGCATCATGAAGGTGGTGGGAAAAATTTCTCAATTGTAGTTTTAGCCTCTATTTTTCTGAAATTTATTGAGAACCTTCAGAAATGTCTGAGGGTGTCACAGCGACATTGCTACTACCTTTTTCACTAATATTTATTGCTGCCTTTTCTTTTTGTTGCTTTTTCCTACAAAATCCTAGTCAAGAAATGCCTTCAATCATGGTTATTTCTGATTTCTTTTTTATTTCAGAAAGGAGCTGGAACCATTGATCTTGAGCCCTGTCTTACACATACATCAGCAGTGGAACCTGCTCTTGCTCCCGTGGCTGTTGAACAGACAATGATTACCTGTGCTGCAGCTTCGGTATGACATAGCCATTTTCTTCCATTACCCTTTGAGTTTATGCTCTTACTCTTCACTTCTCAGTGTGTTGTACCTATATCCTGTTTTCAGTTTTTGATTGAGCAAATGTTCTACTCAATTAGTAGAATGGTGAGGTAGAGTTCTGGGATTTCCATTCATCTAGCATCAACACAACTTGCTTTCAAATGTATTTCGCACAAAGGAAATTGTAAGTAAGATGAAAAAAGTAAATCTTCTTACTGTTAATTATTGTAACAGGAGGTCGGATAAGATTTCCCTAC